AGGCTTGGCATGTGGGAGCCCTGGGTGCGATTCCTGACCCCAAGTGGTGCCAAATGCAGCCGAGACTGCCCCCTGCTTCCACCTCCTTTCACCGCCTCCCCCCAAATTATGAATGGAACAAAGAGCGTTTTTATTCCGGTCACATAGCAATTTAGAGACTGGCCACAATAGACCTCACCCTCTATTTAAAATTCCTTATAAACGGAGGCTGGATCCGCTTAATTCCACAATGTTATGTGTCTCCAGGGCTCAGGGGCCCGAACACCCGTGATTTATGCGAGGGCAGCTTGCTTTGGTCTCTGTCTGGCTGCGTCTTAATTTGCGCTGATTTTCCTGGTAACAGGCTGCTGTAATGTCTGGCCCCGTGTCCCCAGCTTGGCTTTACAATATCTCCTCTGCCTTTAATTAGGACCCCTGTTGGTGGACCGGGCCCCAGCCTGCCCGGCTCGATTTGGTGTGTGTGGGGGGGTAGGTTGGGGGGGAAACAAAGGCAGCTTTCCAAAGAGCAAGATCATTTGATTGCTTGTTAATTAGGCTCGCCAAAGGGAGACAGAGGCTGGGAGGGGGGGAAAGGGTGACCCCTAGGTCAGTTTATCTGTGTGGGGTGCTCCTTCTTAATTATGCGTGTGTGTGTGTGTGTGTGTGTGTGTGTGTGTGTGTGTGTGTGTGTGTGTTTGGGGCGGGGGGGTGTTGGGAGGAGGCCGGTGTACAGTCAGGTCTTGCCAAAAACTTGGAATGAAAGGAAATTAGATTGTTTCTGAGAGTTAAGCTCTGAACTTGAACACACAGTGGGGGAGGAATTGAGCCCAGAAAACACCCGCTTAAGTGATTATGTGAGAAATGGACTCACGTGTTTGTTGTTTTTTTTTTTTCTCCTTCTTCTTCCAAGCAAACAAGCTGGGCTCCTCCAAGTTTCATTTATTTGTTTGGCGGATTCTGGGAGCTGCTACCATGCTCAGCCTCAGGCCTGGGCTGCGACTCTTTTTTTTTTTTTTTATCGACTCTCTGTGAGATAGACCCTTACAAAGCCATTCATGATTAGATTTCAGTCATACAGTGTTCCAACACTCATCCCTCCACCAGCGTACGTTTCCCAGCACCAGTGTGCCCAGGTTCCCGCCCATCACCCCCAGCCCCTCAGCCTGCCTCTATGGTTATCAAGAAAATCCCTTACCTACTTTTAACCCTCCGATCTGGTCCAGTGTGATCATTCCCAGCTGTTATTATCATACTGGTCTCTTCTCTACTGGACTGCAACTCTTAAACCCTGCATCACGGGTTAGAAAAACGACAGGCGGGGAAGGGATGCAAAAGCCACAAAGCGGCCACAGCAGGAATGATGGGCTTAGTGCAGTCAAAGAGAAACCTTGCACGCGAGGGTCCTTAGAGACCATCTGGGGAGCCTGGGAGGTGATGCAGGGGTGGAGGGGCTGGCCTTGTGTGCCACCAGACCCTACTGCCACCTCGAGCACTGCACAATAATATCAGTCAGGCCTGGCTTTATGGGCATGTGGCATGTGTGGACACGTCAGCCCATTGGTGTCATGCTCAGCTGTCGCCATCTTGACATGCTAAGTTACTTGAGGCCAGCTTCATCCCCAGTCCCACCCCTGTCCCCCCCACTGCCTCCTTTCTTTTCTCCTGGGTACCACACCTTGTGCAGCTGCTTATGTCATGGCAGATAAAGAGTAAAGAGAGCCTCAACAAGTGCCCCACTCAGACCTACAAATTCAAACCAGGAGGCATCCAGGGGCAAGAGGAGCTCATGATGTAATGTGGGAGAAGTGCCTGGATGTCAGGAAGTGCCTGGATAACAGGAAATACCTGGATAACAGGAAGTGCCCAGATGACAGGAAGTGCTTCCTGGGCATTGGTCATGAGAGTCATGGAATTTGTTTTAAGGGGATATTTAGAAGGCATGTGAACTTGGAGAGGCCTTCAGCTTTAACTTCAGGAGGAGAACAGAAAATGCTGTGTGAAAAGGACTGTCTGGGTGAAAATGTAAGAGCAACGAGCTAGTTGACTTGGAATTGTGTGTGTGTGTGTGTGTGTGTGTGTGTGTGTTGGGGGGATGGTGACCATGCCAGGTGGTACTCAGGGCTTACTCCTGGCTCTGTTCTCAGAGATCACTCTGGTAGCACCATATGGGGTGCCAGCAATTGAAATGGGGTTGTGGGGTTGACTGCCAGTCAGATAAACGCCCTCACTGCTGAACTATTGCTCTAGCCCCTGACCTGAATTCTAAGGATGGGCATTGCCACGGTCCTGAATTTTAGTCACTGTGTTTACAGGGGCTTTGAGAGAGAGAAAACCCGTGTCTAGGGTTTTTCCAGGCACCCTGAAATTGGGGTTAGGAAGGTTGCAGGCCCCCACAGGACTGGACTGAGGGAGTCTGGGAAGGGGGTGGACACGGAGCAGGGGACCCCTCACTCCCTGGGACTACCAGGAGGCCTCATCTAGCCTGCGTGGGTCTGGCAGTGGGGTGGGGTCAGGACTCCCTCCTGCCTTATCCCAGCCCTGTCCCGTGATGGCGTTCCAGCTGCCCTGCAAGCATGTGACTTCCAGGCCAGGCTGGCAATGCTGGAAAATCGTAAGACTTGATGCCCACCCCGGTGATGCCTCCTGGTGTGACTTTGAAAAATGGTACCTGGGACCGAGCCTGGCACTGCATCCTAAGGGCGCAGGCCATTAGCTGGATTCTTTCTTTATTTTTTAAAAAATCTTTTTGGGTCACACCTGGCAATGCATAGGAGTTACTCCTGGCTCTGCACTCAGGAATCACTCCTGGTGGTGCTTGGGGGACCATATGGGATGCTGGGAATCGAACCCAGGTTGGCCGCAGTAAGGCAAAAGCTCTACCTGCTGTGTTATCGCTCCAGCCCCTTTAGCTGGATTCTTGTGTGTTGACCCCTGGGTGCTCTCTGGCTCTGAAGACTTTGTGAATGAACCAGTGAGGGTCGGGCGCACAGGGACTTGGGGGTGTCCTGCTGAAGGACCCCTCCTCCAGACTTAGCCCTCTCTCTCACAAGTTGGTGGCTGGGGGCTGCAGGCCTCTGGGCCATGCTGCCATTCCTTACCACATTGGTTGACTCAGATACTTGATGTGTATATCTTGGGGTTACATTTGACAGTGCTGAGGGGTCACTCCCAGCAGTGACCATGCAGGGTTGGGAATAAAACTGAGGCCTCCCGCCTCTGCTCTGCCGTTGACCTGTCTCTCCAGCGTGACTCTGGTGGACGCTGGGAGAGGGATGTATGCGAGATCCCAGGCGGCCCCCTCCCCTGTCTCGCCTCTGACGGGGTTGGGGGCCATTAGCTCAGAAGGAACGGCAGCAAAACCTGAATTCCCTCCTCTGGCTTGCCCAGGCCAGTGCTCCCTGCCTCAGTTTCCCCATTTGTTACGCAATTCTTCCAGAAGCACGTGGAAGACTGTGGTGAGGCTGACATTACAGGCCACGGACCGGGCAGGAATATGACAACTCTAAAAAATGGAAGCACCCGATAAGGACATCTGTACCAGCCACTGGGACAAGCCCGGCTGTCTCTTCACTTCCTTGTTTTTGGAGTAAAGACATGAAATGCTGACTCAGCCCCCAAGTTCGAGATGGGCCTCTGTCTCCTCTGAAGGCCCGGCTATGTGCGCATTCCCGTGGAAGGGCTGGTCAGGGCAGCAGCCTTGAGCGCTGCTGCTTCCTGGAGGAAGTGGCATCTTTGATCTGCCAGTGCGGCCAGGCCCATGTGCACTCAACAGCCAGTACTTCCGCAATATGCCTCAGGGACTTTTCACAGTCATTTGAATGAAACCCGTTTACTCTATTTTGGCCTCCCAATTCCAGCTTCAAGGGCCCAGGACCACTTGGGGAAGGAAATACCTGGCCAGCCAACCAGCTTGGCCTGTCCACGAGAGGCGTGAGGATGTGGCGCTGCTTTGACCCTTGGTTGCTGCTGACCACAGGGCTACTGCTGGCCACACCCTGCGGTCCTGGGAGACCATGTGGTCTGGGGATCAAGCATGCCAGCTGCATGTGGGCCAGCTGTCTCTCTTGCTCCCGCCGGAATCCCTGGAAACAATGAGAGAGCAGCCAGCCCAGGTGGCCAACAGGTTGGAAGAGGGCCACCGTGTTGGACCCCGGCTACCAGCCTGCACGGGGTGACTCCCACACCCAGTCCGGGTGTGACCACTTAGGAGCTGCGGCTATCATCTCTTGGGGCGACAGGGAAATTTTATTTATTTATTTATTTGCTTTTTTCGGGGGGCATCACACCCGGTGGTGCACAGGCTCTGCACTCAGGAATGACTCCTGGCAGTGTTTGGGGGACCATATGGGATGCTGGGAGTCGAACCCAGGTTGGCTCTGTGCAAGGCAAATGCCCCACCCTCTGTGCTATCACCCCAGTGACAGAGAAATTTTAATGAGGAATTCAAACCAAAGGCTCTTCGGATTAAGGATGCTGAGAGTGGGGTCTAGGGAGGTCGATGGAGCTCAAGGGGCTGGAATATATGATCTGCAGATGGGAATCCTAGGTTTGATCCGCAATACCTCATGGTCCCCTGAGCACTGTTCTAGGAGTAGCTCCCAGCCCCTCCGGGTGTGACCCCAAGCCCAACATATGTCAGCGGTGTGACCTTGGGTTAATGATGGTGCCCTCTGATCTTCCCGTGTCTTTTTTTTTTTTTTGCTTTTTTGGGGGGTCATCCCTGGCGATGATGCACAGGGGTTACTCCTGGCTCATGCACTCAGGAATTACTCCTGGCGGTGCTCGGGGGGACCATCTGGGATGCTGGGAATCAAATCCGGGTCAGTCATGTGCAAGGCAAACGCGCCCTATCCGCTGTGCTATCGCTCCAGCCCCTGATCTTCCCTTTTCTTCCTGTCCCCAGACTGGGGCCATTTTTCCTTTTTCCCTTTTCCATGCTTTTCCTGGCACCGGAGTGGACGTTGAGCTAGGGACTGGGTTCCGGGGGTCGAGGTGGTCCCATCGCTTTATTTTTCCCGCAGGTTTGTGGATTTCCACGCGGCTGCCTCCACCTGCTCCCCCTCCCGCGCCTCCCTGCTCACTGGCCGGCTGGGCATACGCAACGGAGTCACGCACAACTTCGCGGTCACCTCAGTAGGGGGCCTTCCGCTCAACGAGACCACGCTGGCCGAGGTGCTGCAGGGCGCTGGCTACATCACCGGGATGATCGGTAATGCACGGGCCCCAGTCCGGATCTGCGCACCATCCCCCTCTATGCCCCCAGCCTGGCGCCACGTGTCTTGGCCTGGACCTTCACGCCCCCAGCCTGGGTCATTGTCTCCCCTGACTTGGGCCCCCCATCCTCCTGGCTTCAACCTTCATTTCCTTGAGCTTGTCTCTCACTTCCCTCTACCTGAACCCTCCACTTCCCACTGTACCCAGTCTGTTATCCGCTTGGTGTCCACGCAGTCCCAATGAGCTGCCACATCTACTCTCTCATTTGTTTTTATCTTTTTCTTTTTTTTTTTCTTTTTGGGTCACACCCGGCGATGCTCAGGGGTTACTCCTGGCTTGGCACTCAGGAATTACTCCTGGCGGTGCTCAAGGGACCCTATGGAATGCCGGGGATTGAACCCAGGTTGGCTGCATGTAAGGCAAATGCCCTCACCACTGTGCTATCACTCTGGCCCTCACTTGTTTTTCTTTTCTCCCCTCCCCTCCTCCACTTTTTAGGTCACACCCAGCCATGTTCAGGACTTACTCCTGGCTCTGCACTCAGGAATTACTCCTGGGGGTGCTCGGGGAGATCATATGGGATGCTGGGACTCGAACCCGGTTTGGCCATCTGCCAAGCAAATGCTCTCCCCGCTGTCCCGTCGCTCCCGTTTCTTTCTGGGCAACTTCAGAAGGGTTCCAGCTCTCAGGCAGTGGCACAGCCCAGGAGGCTTGCATGGGCGCAGCCTCTGGACGCTGCGTCCGTTTGTCTGCTCTGCGGGGCTCGTGACGTGGCGGCTGGTGCTGGTGCTTGCCTCCAGATGCCATGTACTGCCCCTCCAGCCCTGCCCGCTAAGGTCTAATCCAAAGAGGGAGAGAAGAAGGGATGCAGATTCTTCCTCAAATCCTTTGCTCATGCTTCCAGTGACTGGGCTGGTTTACCTGGGCACCGTGTGGGAAAAATAAATGGGCACAGGAGTCCAGTGACAGACTGACACAGACTGACCTGGATCGCCCAAACTCTGGACAGACTGAGCACTTGTTCTTTTTCTTCCTCCCTCCCTTCCTCTCTCTCTCTCTTTCTCTCTATCTCTCCCTTTCTCCCTCCCTATTTTCACTGTTTTTCTCTCCTCCTCTCACCCTCCTTTTTCTCTCTCCCTTTTCCTCTCCTTTTCTCTCCTTCCTCTCTCTTTCCCTCTCCCTCTCTTCCTCTCTCTCAGCTCCTCCCCCTCCCTCTCTCTCTCCCTTTCCCTCCCTCTTTTTCCCTTTCTCTCTCCCTCTCTCACCCTCCTTTCTTTCTCCCTCTCTCTCTCTTTCTCTCCCTCCTTCTCTCTCTTTCCCTCTCCCTTTCTTCCTCTCTCTCACCCCCTCTCTCCCTCCTTTCTCTCTCTTCCTCTCTTTCCCTTTTTCTCTCTTTCTTTCTTTCCCTCTCCCCCCCCCTTTCTCTCTCTCTTTCTTCACACCTGGCTGTTTTCAGGGCTTACTCCTGCCCCCGTGCTCAGGGTTCACCCCTGCTAGTGTTCAGGAGACCATAGGTGGTTCCGGAGATCAAATCCAGGTCAGCTGTGTGCCAGGCAAATGTCTTCCCGTGGTGCTATCTCTCGGGACCCCAGACTGCGTTCTCCTGGCGGGATAAGTGGGGGCCTTGGCACAGCATTAGTGCACGTTTGTGTGTGCCCCCTCTGCTGTGCGGAAAACATCAAGCTCAGCACTGGATATCCAGGAGAGAACACCGAGCTTCACCGGGTGGCGAGGAGGCTGGTTCAATATTGGCTCCACCTGGAGTGGGTGGGGCTTGGCTCTGCACACGTCCAGGTAGCCCAGCCCTGCTCCACGGCTTCTGGATGGCCTCCCCTCCAGAGAACACATGCAGGGTGCATGTGTGCATGTATGTACGTTGGGGTGTGTGTGTGTGTGCCTGCGTGCGTACGTGTGTGTGTGTGTGTGTGTTTCCAAGAGCTGAGCCAAATAGGCTCCCTGCCACCCTGCCCCCCAGGACCAGCAGCCAGGGAGGGCAGCGAAGGTCTCTATGGAGCTGTTTCCTGTACCCCAGCAGTCCTGATCACCTGTTGGAGATGGTCTGCTTCTCCACACGTCAAACCTTTGGGCTGGAGTGATAGTACCTAGTACCTGGGTAAGGCTCATTGGCTTGTAGCTGACCCTGCTTTGATCCCTGGGACCCCAGAGGACCAAGCCCTGCCAGGAGTGATCTTTGATAACAGAGCCAGGAGTAAGCCCTGAGCATCGCCCGGTGTGGCCCAACCAAAGAAAAACAAACGAAAAGATCAGACTTAAGCAAGCAGGCACTTCCTTTCTGTCCCAGGAGAGCAAGACCCATCAGTAGGAGGAAAGACAGGAAGATCTAAGGCTCTTGGAAAAACAAAAACAAAAACTAAACCCCACAAACTGTGATGTGAGTGGACAGGAGAATGTGCAGTGCCAGTGTAATAGGCACAGCCTGTGAAGCGCGAGGACTCTAACCTCCAGGACGTCTTGGCATGGAGTGTTGGTAATCAGTGGTCAGGGCGAAAGTATGTTCCAAAGTCATTCCTGATAGCAAACCCGCATTTGTATTTCCATCACACAAGTCTGTTCTGTTGCAGTTTGAAAGTTTTGTGCTCTGGTGAAGAGATGCAAACAGAATGTATTGTTCGCTTTCTTCCTTCCCCTCCCTTTCTCCCTACCCAGAGGAGCAATTCGTTTAACAGCACGGATTGGGAAACTGCTTCAGGGACTGAGAATCTTTTCTGCTGGATTTCCCCAGGGCACTGACAGCCAGGGCTGGAAGGGGCTGGCTGAGGGTGGGGTCCTTTGCTGGGGTTGGCTTGCACCTGCCTTTCCTTCTTTAAGCCTTTCCCTGCAAGTGGTCTGTCCCTTACACTGTCCCCAGAGTTGTCTTGAAGCCTGCCCCCTTGTTGAGATGGTGAAGTTCAGGAACCATCCTGTCTGTAATACGGTCCTGCTGTGGCTTCTCATTTGCATCTGTGCTCAAGATCCCTTACCCGGTTTGCTCTTCCTGTTACTGTATCTTTCCGTCGAGGGAATGTTGCATATTTATTATAAGTGGGGGTGTGTGTGATTTAATCGAATGTTACATATGTATGTAACAAGAAAGGCAGTCACCAAAAGGAGCAACACTGACATGTTTTCTTTCACTCAACTGCACCAGTGGTCTATCTTGGCTACAGGCATTTCTCTCTCTCTCTCTCTCTCTCTCTCTCTCTTTATTTTATTTTTTACTTTTTGGGTCACACCCAGGGATGCACAGGGGTTACTCCTGACTCATGCACTTAGGAATTACTCCTGGCGGTGCTCAGGGAACGCTATGGGATGCTGGGAATCGAATCCAGTTCAGCTGCATGCAAGGCAAACACCCTACCCCTGTGCTATCGCTCCAGCCCCCTCCTTTTATAATTAAAAAAGAATTTTTTAAATTAAATCACTGTGTGATCGATGGTTACAAAATTGTCCATGATTGGATTTCAGTCAAACAATGTTCCAACCCCAATCCCTTCACCAGTGTAACATTTCCCCCCATCAATGTCCAGTTTCCCTCCTTCCACCGCCCCACTTGTCTCTGTTTTATTTGATTGGCGGTGGGGGGAGGGGCTTCGGGCCACATCCCGTGATGTTCCGGACTTCCTCTTGGCTCTGTACTCAGAGATCACTTCCCGTGGGACTCTGGGGACCCTCTGTGGTGCTGGGGATCGAATCAGAGCCAGTTGCGAACAATACAAGTGCTCTCATGCTGCACTCTCTCTCCAATCCTGGGTCTTTTTCTTTAGAAGATAGTTTGACTCAGTGGTAGAGCATGTGAATTGCACCTCTGAGGACGGCCGTGGGGGCAAACGAGAGAAAGCTAGCTGGTCAAAGAGTTTGGCACCATTTCACTGAGTCCCACGTAAAACCGTCTCCCTGGCCCTGCTCCTCTGGTGACCCACTTCATTAGCGCCTTTGTGCTTGTTGATGCTGCCACAGTTGAGATCTGGGGGCCAATTCTTTTCTTTGTCTTCCCCACCCTCTGTCTAGTGGGCAATTTCCAAGTAATCTCTTTGGGCTGGAGCAGTAGCACAGCGGGTAGGGCATTTGCCTTGCACGCGGCCAACCCGGGTTCGATTCCTCCACCCCTCTCAGAGAGCCTGGCAAGCTACCGAGAATATCCCGCCTGCACAGCAGAGCCTGGCAAGCTCCCTGTGGTATATTCGATATGCCAAAAAATAGTAACAAGTCTCACAATGGAGACGTTACTGGTACCTGCTCGAGCAAATCGATGAACAACGGAAGGACAGTGCTACAGTGTGCTTTTTCCCTCCTCGGAGTGGAATGAACTGGTTAGAGAGTTCCCATGTCCCCAGGGCCGTTGGCACCCAAAGCCTCCCACAGAACAGTCTGGAGGCAGGAGGGAGCTGACCCGACCACAGCTGTGGTTCTTTTTTTGTTCTTTGGACCACACCCAGCGATGCTCAGGATTTACTCCTGGCTCTGCACTCAGGGATCACTCCCAATGGGGCTCTGGGGACCTGTTGCGGTGTTGGGGATTTGATCCTGGTATTAGGGAAGTCTGATGGAGAAACAGGCACAGGCACTTAAGAGATTAGAGGGAGAAATAGCTTTAGCTATGCAGGCGGACTTAACCTGGCTCTCACCAAAACGGATGGAGCCATGGTTCGTGCAGAGCTCATGAAGGTTAAGTGCGGGAAATGCCATTTCTATGGGAACAGTTTTCTTCTTCTTTTTTTTTTCCCTTTATTGTATTTTATTTTTTTTTAAAGTTGTAGATTTACAATTTTTTGTGTTTTGGTTTCAATTATACAATGATCAGATACCCATCCCTCCACCAGTGCCCATTTTCCACCACCATGGATAATATCCCTCCCACCCCCATCCCCCCATCCCCCCTGTCTCTGTGGCAGGGCAATCCCCTGTGTTCTCTCTCTCCTTTTGGGTGTTGTGGTCTGCAAAAGAGGCATTGAGTGGCAAACATGTTCAGTCCATAGTCTACTTTCGACATGCATCTCCCCTCCTGGGAGGATCCTCCAAACATCCTTTATTTGGTGCTCCCTTCTCTATCTGAACTGCCCTTTCCTCTAGGATACCCGGCTGGCCTCTAAGTTATGGAGTAATCCTCCTGGTGCTGATCTCAGCTATTGTTGGGTATTAATCTCATACTTTGTTACTTTATATCCCCCAGATGAATGCAATCTTTCTATGTCTATCCCTCTCTTTCTGACTCATTTCACTTAGCATGATACTTTCCATATTGTACCACTTGTATGTAAATTTCATGACTTCATCTTTTCTAAGAGCTACATAGTACTCCATTGTGTAGATGTACCAAAGTTTCTTTAACCAGTCATCTGTTCTTGGGCACTCAGGTTTCTTCCAGTTTCTGGCTATTGTAAAGAGTGCTGCAATGAACAAACAAGTGCAGATGTCACTTCGACTATACATTTTTGCCTCTCTGGGATATATTCCCAGGAGTGGTATTGCTGGGTCAAATGGGAGCTCAATTTCTAATTTTTTGAGAATCGTCCATACTGTTTTCCAGAAGGGCTGAACCAGTGGACATTCCCACCAACAGTGAAGGAGTGTCCCTTTCTCGCCACATCCACGCCAGCATCGGTTGCTTTTGTTCTTTTGAATGTGGGCTAGTCTCTGAGGTGTGAGATGGTATCTCATTGTGGTTTTGATCTGCATCTCCCTGATGATTAATGATGTAGAGCATTTTCTCATGTGCTTTTTTGCCATTTGGACTTCTTCTTTGAGAAAGTTTCTGGGAACAGTTTTCTTCTTATTCGACGGACCCAAGGGTGGCTAATAGGTGTAATGCTTAGTTCAATCAGGGATTGATATATTCTGTTTTAAGTTCCCTCTAGGGGCTGGAGAGACAGTATAGGTTGACAGGCGTTCGCCTTGCACATGGCAGGCCCCCGTTCAATCCCATATGGTCCTCAGAGCATCACTAAGAGTAATTCCTGAGTGCAGAGCCAGGAGGAACCCCTGAGCACCTCTGGGTTTTGTGGCCCCCAAACCCACCCCCCCAAAAAATATTTTCAGTTCCATATAGACATTTCCTAATTATTTCTGTGGCTCCGTTTCATTTCTGCTCAAGCGACCACTACTTCTGCTCTGTTCTGGCCATGACCTGACGATTTATGACCAATTCATCTCTGCCCAGCTCCTACAAGGAGACACTTCAGAGGTCCTGCCTCTCGTTTCCCACTTCTGCTCCTAATTTTCCTATACTACACGGGGTCTGCCATGGTCAAGGCTCTTTGTTTTGTTTGTTTGTTTTGCTTTTTGGATCACACCCGGTGATGCACAGGGCTTACTCTTGACTCTGCACTCAGGAATCACTCCTGGCGGTGCTCAGGGACCATGTGGGATGCTGGGGATTGAACCAGGGTCAACCTCGTGCAAGGCAAACATCCTACCCACTGTACTATCACTCAGGCTCAGCAAGGCTCTTTGGAGCTCGCTTGCTTGCTTTCTGCCTGCTTGGTGACCTTGCACTGGATCCAGATGGACACAGCGTCTTATTCCGACCGCTGCAGGCTCTTGGGGGTTGGCCAGAGAGGAAGATGAAGAAAGCACATCGCCTCTGAGTGTCTCCGTGGCCCTGTCTCCTGGAGAGGCTGCCGTTGGCTTTGGCGGGCGTTGAGCCCTCTGAGTTGGAGGCTCAGCCCACTGTGTCTCTAGGTGCCTGGTCACTGTGTCTTTTCCTCATTTCCCCTCCCCACGGCGGGGGGGGGGGGGACCTGAGTCATCCTTGCTGCTTCCTGCTCTCCCCAGGTCCCTCTCTGTCCTGCGGAGCCTGGCAGCCTCTGCCTGTCCTCAGTGAAGGGCAGACCTGACACAGTCCTGAGTATATGATCTGCTGCCCCCCACCCGGAGGCACCCAGGGGATTCTCCTGAAACTCTCGCTCTTGTTTCCTTACAGGCAAATGGCATCTTGGGCACCACGGCTCCTATCACCCCAACTTCCGTGGTAAGAATTCTTTGTGGGATTTGTTACTGGGGAAATCAAAATAAAAGATCTCACGGTGTGGCAGGACTCCAGGGTTAATCTGTCCTGCCTCTAGGGGGCGTCTCTTCTGGTTGAGATCATTTCTGGTGGGGAGAGGGATGTCACGGGGGGCGGGGGGGGGGGAGGGTGCGTTTGAGGGTGCTGGGGTTCCCCCTGGAGTTCACAGGGTTTGCCTCTGTCTGGCTCCCCTGGGGGTGAGGCCCTTTCCCCTCTGAGGCCCTGTGGCCCGTTGTGAACACTGGTCCAGGAACAGAGAGCTGGGGATCAGGGGGTCTGGGGGGGCTGGAACTCCTGCTTTGCATGTGGCGGACCTGGGTTCAAGCCCCAGATTTAGCCCATGATGCTCTGGGGCTCCCTGAGCACCACCAGCCCAGGTTTGACCTTCAGATGAAACTAAAATGAAGCAAAACAGAAAAATCTAAAAGAGATCGCCCCAGCAGGAACCTAGCCAGGATCCTGTTTTATTATTATTTTGTTTTTGGTTTGGGACTACGACTGGCAGTGCTCAGGGCTTACTCCTGGCTCTGCATTAGGGAATTACTCCTGATGGTGCTCATGGGACCCTGTGGGGTGAAATCCAACCCAGGTCTGTTGCACACAAGGCAAGCGCCCTACCCACTGTGCTCTCTCTCTGGCCCCTGGCCGTGAACTTGGCCTTATGATGTTCTCAGCTTCTCACTGTCTCCAGCTTTCCACTCTGTGGCTTTGGGAAACAGATCAAAGAGATGGCTGCCTGGTCCAGGGGTCAGCAGTTCACATGCTTATTGATGAGCACTCTGAAGAGCCACATCCCTGAATGTGGAAGGTGTTTCCAAGGCATGGTGTGTGTTGCTGCTCTCTGCTCCCAATCCATGTGGACACCTGCACACCTCCTCTTCAGGGCACAGTCTCCCTGTCCCCTGCCCTTCTAGTCTGCTCCCCCACCCCACTGTAGACACACCTGCTGCAGTGCTCTGGCTTCAACCTCAGGAAGTTTTGTGCTTGAGGACAGCTCTTTTTTTTTTTCTTTTTGGGTCACACCGGCAATGCACAGGGGTTACTCCTGGCTTTGCACTCAGGAGTTACCCAGATTGGCCGAGTGCAAAGCAAAAGCCCTACCCGCTGTATTGCTCCAGCTCTTATATTTTAATTTTATATATGTTTTCTTTTTGGGTCACACCTGGCAATGCACAGGGGCTACTCCTGGCTCTGCACTCAGGAATTACTCCTGGTAGTGCTCAGGGGACCATATGGGATGCTGGGAATCGAACCCCAGGTCGGCCGTGTGCAAAGCAAACGCCTTACCTCCTGTGCTATTGCTCCAGTCCCTGTCTCCAAGCTCTTACACGTGCCTCTCTCCCTCTTGGCCTTTTTTTTTCATGGTCTACTATCCTGGTTCTCTTCCACATTTCTTACAGTTCAGTCTCGATACTCATTTTTTTTTTTCTTTCTGAGGGACTGTCTGCTGAGAGCGGTGTTTATTGATGCACCCTTTAAAGCATCCGAGATGCAGTAGATTTTTCTGCAGTCCAAATGAGTCCATCCTGGCACTGGGTGAGCTTAATGGTCTGTGCTTCCTCCCTCTCTGGGTCATTTTAATCATCCAATGTTTTGCAAATCTGGTCTTAGAGCCAGGCGATCCGAAAAGTGTTTTTGTTTGCATGCAACGAAGGGCTATTAACCAAATCCTCTTTTAATTAACTACTTCATTGTGGGAAACTAAATTTTTGTCGTGGAGGCCAGAAGGCAGTCACATGGAGGGGCTAAGCAGTTGCTTCTGTTGCAGGTTTTGATTACTACTTTGGAATCCCCTACAGCCACGATATGGGGTGCACAGATACCCCGGGCTACAACCACCCGCCCTGTCCAGAGTGTCCGCAGGGCGATAGAGCACCGAGGTACTCAGTCCCCTCCAAGGCTTTTGTTTTGGGCTCTAGGGTGTGAGAGAGAAAGAGAGAGAGAGAGAGAGAGAGAGAGAGAGAGAGAGAGAGAGAGAGAGAGAGGAGAGATCGATCTAAAGGGGGACAGGTGAGATGAGACAGGAAAAAGAGCTCGAAGCCTCTTTAGAGCAAATATAGACAAATCATCTACAAGGAATTAAGACAACAGCGTTTAGTAGTAAAACAACTTTTTTTCCTTTTCTTTCTTTCTTTCTTTCTTTCTTTCTTTCTTTCTTTCTTTTTTCCTTGCTACACCTGGCAGTGCTCAAGGATTCCTCTCGCTCTGCATTCAGGAATCATTTCTGCTGGGCTGGGGGGATCATATGGGATGCTGGGGATGGAACCCAGGTTGGCTGCATGCAAGACAAGCACCTACCCACTGTACTATCGCTCCGACTTCGTGATAATACAGCTTGTATTCGTGAAGTTCTTTTATTGGGGTGTCCCACATTCCTTGGACCATTTGACTTAGCTGGGGGGAGCCTGGTGCTGCTGAAGTGGGGTCAATAGGCCTCCATCCTCTGCCTCCTGGCCTTACTCGTGGAGGAGGGAGAGGGAGAGGGAGAGGAAGAAGGTGAGGGAGAGGAAAAGAGAGAGAGAGAGAGAGAGAGAGAGAGAGAGAGAGAGAGAGAGAGAGAGAGAGACAGGTAGGCAGACAGACAGGACCTCAGTTTCTCGTGACATTGCCAGAGCAGTTGGGCTTGACCAGGAACACAAGCGTCTCTTGAGAGGAAGTGGGAGAAAGTCTTCGGTGGGTTCTGTGTGGGAGGAAGTAGCACCCGGAGGGGTGTGGGCTGCAGGAATCTTTCCTTGAGACAAGGCAGACCACACCGCCAGCCCCATGTGCTCTCCACACAGCGGGCTCCGGGGGCACTGTTACACGGACCTGGCCCTGCCTCTCTATGAGAACCTCGACATCGTGGAACAGCCCGTGAACCTCAGCAGCCTGGCTCAGAGGTATGCTGAGAAGGCAAGCCAGTTCATCCAGCAGGCCAGGTGAGCCCTGCGCCCCGGTTCTTACCTTCCCTCCCACCTGCCACACCCCTGACCCAGCTCCTAACACCCTGACGCTCTCACCTACAGTGTCCGCCAAACCCACTGCATGGACCCTCATCCTAACCCCAAGCCACCTACTCCAGCATTCTCTGACATCAGTTCGCTAACTCTAGGCCTAGCCTTAATCCTTCCTTCACCCTAACCCTGGCACTCAGGACCCTAACCCAAATCCTAACCCTAATCCTAACCACCACAGTGTCTGCTGCACTCACTACATGAACCCTAATCCTGACCTTAATTATAACCTTATTCCTAGCCCAGCTGCAATGCCCTCTGAGCTCCGTTCACTAAACCTAATCTTAACAGACTAGTATGTGGGGTCTCTAACAAGTTTGGTCTGTATGTGGGGGGAGGGGGGAACAGGGGATAGCTGGGGATGCTGCCCCCTCAGGCCAAGGTGAGGGAGACTGCCAGATATCAGGGATTCCTGATGGTGCCCTCACTGTCGATGTATATACAGATGGGGGTGGTCAGTGCCTGCACAGACCCACTGCCCACTCTGCTGCCCCACCCCCGTGCTCTTCCTGATCCCTCCTACCTACTCTTGGCCATCCTCGGTGACCCCTTGTGCATTGTCTCAGCTGATCCCGAAGATTGCAAAGTCCCCAAGAATGGGGGAAGAGTTTCCAGTTGGTGTGGAGATATTGCTGCAGCTGCAGCCTGGCTGGGCTAAAGCGTGCGTGCGTGTATGTGTGTTTGTGCATGCATGTGTGTGCATACATGTGTACATGTGTTGCATTCATATGCATGTATGTGTGTATGTGAGTGCACGTGTGTGCATGCATGTATGTACGTGTGTGTGCATGTGTACACGTGTGCATTCATATGCATGCATGCGTGTATGTGTGTGCGTGCCTGTGTGTGCATGCATGTATGTCCATGCATGTATGTGTGTGTGTGTGTGTGTGTATGTGTGTGCGTGTGTGTGTGTAGACTTGAATCCTGGCAACCGGTCACCGCTCCTTGGAGGTGTGAGAAGCCCCCATTGGGGCCTTTTTTACAGAGAAGGTCAGCAGGGCATCAGGACAGCACCAGAGTCCTATGTCCTCAGAGACAGTGGTAGGGCAGCTTCCAGGCCTTTCTGGAGGACACTGGTGGTTTGATCCCCATGGTTTATGGCAGAGGGTGAAGACTCTTTCCTGTTTGAGAAACGGGCAGTCCCTCATTCCCTGGAGTTTGGAGATGGTCTCGGGCCCTGCTCTCTGGGGTGGGAGAGTGGGTGGCGAGTGGGGACTCGGCACCCTTCTTGGCAGTGCCTGGAGCAGCCCCCAGTCCCGGGAGGGGTCGGGTGAGGAGCTAGCAGGGACTGGGGCCTCGGGGATGGTTTAATGTTCGCTCCGCTGGGGCCCGGTGCTACTCAGCCACAGGTTAATCAGTTAAAAGACAAATCACTGCACAATCTCCTTATCATGGGGGAAAGGTGAGGTCTTTGCTAATTTATTATTAGCGAATCAGTTATTAAGTGAATAGTCACATGAATCCTGTTGGCTTTTAACTCGGCAGAAACAGTTCTCAGACGTGCTGATTTTCTTCTGATCTGACTTGCCAGTTTGTCCACACTTTCCCTGGCATCAGCAGAAAAGGCCCTGGCCTGTCTCTGTCCCTCAACCCCCGCTCTGACCGCCCCCCACCGGGAACTGCTTGTCAGAACTTCCAGGGGCACGCAGGAGGCTACGTATGGTCCCCTGAGCACTTCTGGGAGAGCAAAATCGAGCACCACTGGGAATAGCCCTGAGACATGGCCCCAGTGGCCCTCTGGTACTCCCAAACTCCTCAAGCTTTTAGCAAGGGCTCCTGTGCTCCCTGGGAGACATACCTGCTCCCCTAGGACTACTTGAAAATTTCTTCTCCCGTCTTCCACTTTGACCTATAACCTGTCAGGCATATCCTTGGTTTGATTCTAATTTATTGTTCCTTGGGCCTTCTGAGCAGCTCCTGAGAGACTTGGCCAACCGGACCAGGCGGTTCAGGGGCCCAGCTAAGATGGGGACTGCAGGGCCACGCCCCCGGTGTTGGGGATCAGACTTGGGTCCCCGCACATGCTGGGCACTCACCCCTGATCCCAGGACTATCGCCCCAGCCTCTTAATAAGAATTTGTTTGTTTAACTCCAGCTCAGGGTTGACTCCTGGCTCTGTGCTCAGGGATGGCTCCCAGGGATGCTCAGGGATTATAGATGGTGACTGTGTGTACGGCAAGTGCTTTAACCTGATATTATTGCTCCAGCCTGATTTTATTTTTTAAGTTTTTTAGAAGTCTTTTTTTGGGGGGGTGGATGGTTTTGGGGGCCACACCCTGTGTTGCTCAGGGGTTATTCCTGGCTCTGCATTTGGGAGTGATTCCTGGCGGTGCTTGGGGGGGGACCCTATGGGATGCCGGGGATCAAACCTGGGTCGGCCATGTGCAAGGCAAATGCCCTCTCCACTGTACTATCATCCAGGCCCCTATAAAGCAGATTTTTAGCTAGCCATGCCGTGTTGTTCAGGGTGCGGCGGGAAGCAGTGCACCATGGACTCACTTGTGGGGCGTTTCCTGCTGCAGGTGACACAGGTATAGTGTGATCTCAGAGTCAGAGGTCAGAGGTGATGGTCAAAGCTAGTAGAATAGAGGCCGGAGCTATAGTACAGCAGGGAGGGCATTTGTTTTGCAGCAACCGACCCGGGTTTTATCCCTGGCATCCCACGTGGTCCTCAGAGCACTGTCAAGAGTAATTTCTGAGTGTAGGGCCAGGAGTAACCCCTGAGCATCGCCAGATGTGACCCAAAAAGCAAAATAAATAAATAAATAAATAAAGGAGAAAAAGAAGTAGAATTTTTCAGTTGTGGTTTACCCTGAGGACAGGCTCCCTTTGTTCCTCCTATAAGCCAAGTTGTCGTGAGTGGGTAGAAAGCCATGTCTGGGGATGGTCACTTCCAGGGGGCAGATGAAGGCGCTTGCTCTGGGTGGGCCCAGAGCAGTGCCAGCAGGCCCAGGGCGACCAGGGCCACATGGGCTCGAGACAGAGTCTCAGCATGGGGTCCCTGTGCAGGACACAGCCCACACAGCTGGACCTGCTGTCCTCTTGCAGAACAGGGAACAGACCTTCGAAACCAGCCTGAACCACGAGAACTCTGTGAGGAAGCAAAGTGTTTAGCTGGAGCTTCCAATCACTGAGCCCTGATTTTGTATCTACATAGAACCCCTATTAAATTAGACCTAGTGCTAAGATTATCACATAAAACTTACCTTTCTGTGCTCTAACTTAAATTCTTTTTTAAAAAATATATACTTTTTTTTAACCACACTCAGTGGTACTCAGGACTGACTCTTAGCTCTGCATGCAGGGATCACTCTTGGTGGGCCTGATCGCTCAGGAGACCATTCGGGGTGCCAGGGATGAAACTGGGGTGCAAGGCTAGCACCCCATCTTCCCCTTCTCACTCTGTAGCATTCCCCTTCGCCCCATTCCAGAACTTTCCAACCCCCTAAATGGAAACTCCATCTCCATTAACCCCTGGCTCCCCATTCTCCATGCTCCATCCTCCACGCTCACGCCCACGGGTCTCCCTCTGGGCTCTGACCTCTGACCTCCATGAGGACCTCCTAGGCATGGGATCATATTTGTCTGCACCCTTTGGATTACTTCACAAACCGTAATGTCCACACTCCTCCCTGTGGTTCCATGAGAAGCTCTTGAATCCTTATATAATTTTCATGAAGTGACATCTAAGTAGCCACACCCGTGACCACTGCCCTGGGCCACACAGCTCAGAACTGTGGTTGAGCCATGGCAGCTTCCCACGGGGATAGCTGGCCAAAAATATAATCAATCCAGGGGGTGAGACACTTACTTACTTGCCTCGCCTGTGGTGGGCCTTGGTTCAATTCCCCGGTGCCACATCTGGTCCCTGAGAAGGCTCCACTCCTGAACACAGAGCCAGGAATCTCCTCTGAGCCACACCAGGTGTGGGCTGGAATAACCCCAGAGGGGGACATCTGCGAGAGATGCCTATCCCGGCACTGCTGTCCTGTCCCAGATTGCTGAGTGCAGGCACCGGCCCAACTCTTGGGTCCTCCGAGTTTGGGGACTGGGCCTGGCTGGTGAGGCTGCTGGGGCCGGCAGTGGTGGCAATCCACCAGCTTGAAGTCAGATCTGTGACGGGGAGCTGGTGAAGAAAGCCACCTGCAGCCTTCCCTGGATACACACATGATTGAAACCTGTACCACCTGTCCCCTCTGCCTCCCCCCCACAGCCCTCCTTGGGTTGTTCTGAGCCACTCAGGGGGCTGCTGAGTCAGGGTCCGGGCAGGAAGACCCGGGTGCTGAGCGCGTCTCTGTCTCTGCTTCCGTTGCAGCGCCCGTGGGAGGCCCTTCCTGCTCTACGTGGCCTTGGCCCACATGCACGTGCCCTTGCCCAGGACCCAGGGCTCCGCGGCCCCCGGAGGGCCATACGTGGCAAGCCTCCGGGAGATGGACGGCCTGGTGGGCCAGATCAAAGACAAGGTTGACCACACGGCCAAAGAAAACACGTTCCTCTGGTTTGCAGGTGAAGGAGTCAAACCCAGCCAGCCTTGGCGAGATGGGCCCGATAATCCCGGCACGGGCCCGGCGCACGGGCAGTTTGCTCCTGGTGTCCCATTGAACGGCTCAAGGGCCTTACTTGGGGGGAGGGGCAGGTGCTCCCCCACTCTGGCGAGGGCTCATGGGCTTAAATTCAGAGCCACGTCCAGTGGGACCCCAGAGACTAAGCCTGCCCCCTGTTTGAACAGAGAGCTGGTCCCCTTGGACTGATGATACCCCTCTGCCTTTTGTTCTTCCTTGGCCTGGTGACCCCTGGGGTTCCTGTGGCAGCTCTGAGCTCTCACAGTACCACGGGTCCCAGACATCTAAGTGCTGATTGTCCCCCAGTGACCGCCTCATGTATTGGTGCTGAGCCAGTGAGTCATTTAAAAGGTCTACAACCACCCCCCGCCTTGGGGCTGGAGCAATAGCACGGCAGGTAGGGTGTTTGCCTTGCACGCAACTGATCCGGGTTTGATTCCCAGCATCTCATAGGGTTCCCTGAGCACCGCTGGGAGTAATTCCTGAGTGCAGAGTCAGGAGTAACTTACCCCCGTGCATCGCTGGGTATGACCCCCCAAAAGAAAAAAAAACCATAAAAGGTCCACCCTTGGGGCCAGAGCAATAGTACAGTGGGGAGGGTGCTTCCCTCACACACAACTGACCCGGGTGCCAACCCTGGCACCACAGGTGGCCCCTGAGCTCTGCCAGAAGTGACCCTTGAGTGCAGAGTCATATGTAAGTCCTGAACAGAGCTGGACTCACCCACCCTCCCCCCCCAAAAAAAAATAAAACAAAGGGTCCACCAGGTGTAGGGCGTCTGAGATGCGCAGTAAAGGGTCCGCCAGGTGTGGGGCACCTGGGATGAGCAGCGCTACTCTCCTCCGACTGGTAGTGACCTGGGTGTGAATCTATAGCGTTCTTGCTGGGACAGTGGCTTTGTCCACTCCAGGACTGTCGCTTCCACTGCAAAATTGAGCCCTGGAGTGATGGGACAGTGACTGAGGTGCTGGCCTGGCCTGTGGCCCACCTGGGTTCAGTTCTCCCCCAGAAGTCATCCCTGAGCTCAGAGCCAGGAGTGAGTACAGAGTGCCGCTGGGTATGGTTCAGCAGTAAAAAAATGACTCTCACGCTCTCCCAACCAACCCAGCAAACTGAGCTAATAAGGAAGTGCTCCCCACCCCGCATGCTGGGCTTACGGGTGCGTGTCTGCGTGTCTGTGAGACCTGGCACATTGGTGCTGCCCCGAGACTCAGGGCTCATGGCAGGAATGCCAAGGTGCGGCCTACGTGGGGGAAGGACCTGCCCTTTGCACGGCCCTGGATCCCATCCCCTGCACAGCCCGGGCTCACGGTGTCAGAGGCGGAAGGACTGGCTGAGTGGCCACTCACCTGCTGACCAGACTGTGTTGATTTTCCCATTTCCAGGAGACAATGGCCCCTGGGCTCAGAAGTGTGAGTTGGCCGGCAGCGTGGGCCCTTTCACCGGATCCTGGCAAACTCGCCGAGGTAGGGGTCCCGGTTTTGGGGGTGGGGCTGGGGGTCCCCTGGCGGAGTCCAGGCGGGGCTATGGGGGTGTCTGGTTTTGGGCGGACTGATGTGAGCCCAGGATATGGTGGTGAATGTCGGGAAAGGAGCTCACCAGCTCCCTATGCAGGGGGCTTGAGAAGCTTCAGCTGGACCACCCAGAAGCCCCCCTGGGGTGAACCCCCTTCTCCCAACACGCTTGTCCAAGGTCCATGGCATGCTCTGCTTTGTGTGTCATCTTGTGTTTTTTCCCTCTCTCCTTCCTTCCTTCTGTTTCCTCTCTCAAAAGTCATGCCTCATCCAGAGATAGTGCCCAGATACCCCAGGGCTTTGGGTTTGAAGTTTGGGGATGCTCAGGAGTTACTCCTGGCTCTGCACTCAGGAATCATTCCTAGTGATGCTCAGAGCACCTAATGGGATGCCAGGGATGGAACACAGGCCGGCCATTATAAGGCTAATGCCCTCCCTGCTGTACTCTCTCTCCACCCTGGAGCAAGATCACCACGTGCAGATGCAGGAAGAGAGAGGCTCAGAGAGGCTCAGAAACTCCCCCAGAGTCACCCAGTTTGGGAGGAGAGAGCAAGTCTGCCCAGCCCCCCCCCCCCAATTCCAGCAGGTGATTTTCTCACTGCACTCCCCCTCCCAGTCTTCTCTCTACTTCATGCCCTTCAGGCCCCGCCCATCTGCTCAGGGAAGGTTCCTCTACCTGGACACACACACACACACACACACACACACACACACACACACACAGCCCTCCTGCTCCCCCCACAACACCCTGCTGAGAGAGAAGCCCACGCTGGGAACAGCGTGACCTTGTGGGTCAAACACTAGTAAACTCTGCATCAGTCTAACGCCTACAGATGTGTCTTCAAAGGCACCGCAACATCGGCCAGTTGCATCAGGACGGATGATGTAAATATGCCCAGCACGGGAGGTCTTTAGGACCCCAAAATAGTTGGACATTGCCCAAGGGTCCAGCAAGAGAGCAAGGTGAGCTTGAAGGAATGATGGCATCTTCCCTTAAAGGAACACTGTGTGTGTGTGTGTGTGTGTGTGTGTGTGTGTGTGTGTGTGTGGAGAAGGGGGGAATAGAAGGGAGCTGGGGAGATGGTTCAAAGGACTGCCACGTAAACTTTGCATGCTGGAACCTTGGGTTCAATCCTTGGCACCCACGGTCCCCTGACCCTCTCCAGGTGTGGCCCCAGCACCGCCAAAAAATAAAAAGGAGGGGCCACCAAAATGATGCATGCTATTGGCTGAGAAACACTTCAGTGCTTTTTTTTTTTTTCTGGACTTTTTGGCTTTTTGGTCACACCCGGCGATGCTCAGGGCTTAGTCCTGGCTCTGCACTCAGGAATTAACTCCTTGGTGGTGCTCGGGGGACCCTATGAGATGCTGGAGGTCGAACCCAGGTCTGCCACAGGCAAGGCGGACGCCCTACCCACTGTGCTGTCACTCCGGCCCCACTTCAGATACGTTTTTGGTGAATGAGGCAGATTCCAAAAACATTAAGGAACGTTCTGTTTGATCGCATAAAATGAATATGTACTCTTGGAAAAGTCGTGAAAGAAGCAAAGGTCATAGAAAATGAGCAGCAGTTCACGCTAGGGAGGTGGAGAGTTTCAGCGGTCAGGCTTGTGACTGAGGTTCTCTGCCGGGCAAGTTCAAGTTCCCTGGCTGCCAGGAAGTAGGGCTTTCCCCAGCTTAAAACAGTTGACTTTGCAGTCATCTGGTGGCTGGAAGCTGTTTATCTCTGATGGTTATGGGATCCGGCGGGTACCCCCGAGGCTCTAGCCCGATCCCTGCTACCCACCCCCAAGAAATCCCCCCCACACCCCTAAAAAATGTCAGTCTGACCTAAGAGATCTGTTGAGGTGGGCCTGGGGGAGGTGACTCCCTGCTGTCCAGCTCTCTTTGGAGTCAGGGTCCCGTGCTGTCCTGGGGTCCGCATCCCCTACCCTCCCAACCCCGTTTCCCAATCGTCCAGCAGAATGTAGTGACCACCGAGAGGTAGGAACTTTGGTTCATCTCTGGGCAGTGCTGCTGGTTAGTTTGATTTGTTCCCGAGGTTTCTCCAAGGGGGTCCCCGGCAAGCTGGACTGGGAGAGGCTGCAGGGACCATGGCCAAAGCTGGCGTCTGGAGACTGGAGTGGAGACTGAGGGGTACGGAGTGTCCACTGCCTCCAGCTCCGAGGCCAGGCTGCTTCCCCGTAGGGGAGGTGCTGGGGGGATTCTGCCTGGTCTTCTCTGTTGCTTCCCTCCAGCTCTGTTCTGGGTGCCAGAGAGAGAGAGCTGGTGTGGGGAAGCCTCCTAAGATCGGTCGTGGGAGTGCAGGGGTGGAGGAATATTTGCAGCAGAGGCCTGGAGAAGGGCGGGTGGCACCAGCTGAATCTCCTCCTCTCTGCACCCGGCCTGGCCTTTCCTCGGACCTGATTCCCCCTACCTGAGACTGAGTCTGGACTCCGAACCCTCCACAGTAAAGTCCAGGGTGCAGGGGGGCCCCCAGGGAGGTAAAAATCTGGCTGCTCGGTGGGAGGCAGGCTGTTTCTGAAGAGGATGACCTCTGACTGCTTCTCTGAGGACCTTATCGCCCCCACCCAACTCTCAGCCTCACCCCCCCCCCCACCTCACCAGAAGGGGAGTTTTGAAATCCGTGAATCACGTTGTAGTGGGTGGATGGAACTCTTTTCTTTTCTTTCTGGGTCACACGTGGCGATGCTCAGGGGTTACTCCTGGCTCCTGCACTCAGGAATCACTCTTGGCGGTGCTTGGGGGACCATATGGGATACTGGGAATTGAACCCCGGTCGGCTGCATGCAAGGTAAAAGCCCTCCCCACTGTGTTATCACTCCAGCCCCGAGGGAAGAATTTTACCCTCTGCAGAGCTCCTGTATCTGCCAGGCACTCCCCCCACCTCTTGCGTGTTGTTGGGGGCTCACACCTGACATGACTTGTGTGCTTCTCCCAGCCTTTTGCTCGGTGGTCATGCCTGGAGGTGCTCTTGTATAGAGCTGGCTCACCCCTCCCCCACAAACCTTTCCCCCATGCTAAATGGAGGCTGAGCTCATTGGAGGTTATTTTTGCTTTTGGGTTTTGGGGGCCACACCTGGTGATGCTCAGGGCTCGCTCCTGGGGGTGACTGAGGTACCATGCAAGGTGTCAGGTGTGGAAACTGGATTAGCCAAATGCAAGACGAATGCTTTATCTGCTGCCCTGTCTCTCTGGCCCTACTTTAAAAAATATTATGACGGGGGCATTGTCCAAACCTGGGGGTGTTAGGGCTCGCTTGTGCTCAGGGCCTCTTGGGGCCTATGTGGTAGATAGACGGTTGGACCAGGGTCAGCCCCTGCAACGCAAGTGCTTTAGCTGCTGTGCTATCTCTCCCGCCCAGCCCTTTGAACCATCCCTTCCTTCTGTTAGCCACTCAACAAACAGCCCAGGGGCCAGAGCAATAGTACAGTAGGAAGGGTGATTATCTTACATGCGGTCGACCCAGGTTCAATCCCTGGCATCTCATATGGTCCCCAAAACACTGCCAGGAGTAATTCCTGAGAACTGCCGGGTTTGACCCAAAAAGACACAAACAAAAAACCAGCCCAGTCTTTGCAATGGGGCAGGAGCAGTGCTGGCATTCAGAGCCATGAAGTGTGGCATTTAGGCCCCACCAAGTCTCGAACCTTCTGATGCTAGACCTGTGTGTGGTCCTGCTAGCTCCTGTGAGTAACGCAGCACCCGGAAACTCACTCCAGACTCATTCCAAACCTCTCGGATAGGACAGTCGGGGATTAGGGCCCACTGATCTGAGATTTAACAAGTCCGTGAAGGGAATTTGGAAGCGAGTTACAATTTGGCAAGACACTGGCTTCCGAAGGCTCCTTACAGTCCAGGTAGAGTCCAGGTCCTTCGCCGCATGTGAAAGGCTACCAAAGTCCCCTGGGCCTTGGGGGAGGGTGCTGAAGAGCCCAGCCAGAAAAGTAATGTGTCCAGCCCGGAAGAAAGGCCTGGGACAGGGGCAGGGCAGCTGCCTGGGCTAACGGGGTGAGAATCCCAGGGTAGCCTGGGAGTGGGGACCTCTTCCCCCAAAGGGAACGGGAGCAAGAAGGCTGCCCGAGGTGGGATTGGTTGGAAGCAGGGATTTGCAGGGAAGGGGGCTGGAGGCACCCCGGGGCAGTGGGAGTCAAGAGTCCGAGGGAGGGGGCTGGAGCGATAGTACAGTGGGTAGGGCATTTGCCTTGCACGCCTTGCATGTGGCTGACCCGGGTTCGATCCCCGGCATCCCATATGGTCCCCTGAGCACCGGCAGGAGTAATTCCTGAGTGCAGAGCCAGGAGTAACCCTTGTGCATCACGGCGTCTAGCCCAAAAAGCAAAAAAAAAAAAAAAAGAGTCTGAGAGAGAGTCTGAGAGATCAGGTGGAGGGGGACAGGGCAGCCGAGAGCCAGGCCAGCCTTTCCCTTTAAGGCTCAGATCTAAGGGAAAGGGGACTGCAGGAGGTTCAGAGGGAGGCGGGGACAGACTCTGTGACTCAGTGCTGCTGCCTTGCAAGGGTCCCGCAGGAATCCCGACCCGGTGATGCCACGGACCCCCGCACCAGGGGCTGAGCTCAATTCCGACAGCTCTGTCATCCAGGCCCTTGGGTATGCATCCTGTTTGTGGCTGTTCCATGGAGTTCAGGCTGTGTGGAAGCACCCACGAGCCCCATAGAAGCACAGTGAACACCAATGGACGAGCACCACAGCGAGGGCCCCTGGAGGTCTGTGCCTAGACTTTGGAAGAACGTGACATTGTCCTTCTGAAACACACTGTTGAGTAGACTGATGTCTCCTCCACCAAAACCATCTTAAAATAAATCTACTTCCTAGAAGCAGGTAGACCTCATAGAATATAAAAGGTATCAGGGTTTTGTTTCTTTTAGATGTTTTTATTTTATTTTCAGTTTGGGGGCCACGCCCAGCGATGCTCAGGGGTTACACTTGGCTC